CAGAGCTTCAGGAGGACGCTAGCCTGAATGGCCCCTTGGGGCCCAGATGGTCACCCTCAGACCCCCACGGAGGTGACAGGCCCCCCCTCATCGGTCACCCTAGCAGCACAGGGCAGCCTCCTGCAGGGGAAGGGGCTTCAGAGGGGCCCAGCCTGGGGGTGCAGCAAGCAGGGGTGTGCCTTCCCTCCGGAACAGGGCCTCTCGGAGCCTGTGGACGGTGGGGGGAGCAGCAGCCCTGGCTGCCAGGTGGGCCTGAGAACAGGTCTTGTCTTGCCAGGGACGTGGGGCCCTGCGGTTTGGGGTGGGGGCCCACAACACTCCTGTGCTGCTGGCAGGTGTGTGAGGCTGGGCCAGAGAGGCAGGGATGAAGGCCTGACCTCAGGGCCCTCCCTGACATCCCCCTCAGGGTCCACCTGCGTGTACTTCCCAGGCCCACCTGCTCGTGCAGGTGCAGATGCCCCAGGTCCACAGGCAGAGGGTTCCTAAGGGATTATCCTGGACACATTGTTCTCAGCCTCGCTTTTTCTAGTGTTTCCATGCTCAGAAGGTAAAGGTCTACATAATCACAGAGTGGGAGGGCAATCCTACTTGGGGGACAGGACCAGATACGGGTCCCATCTGGCAGGAGCCACAGAGTGCGGCCCTGCACTTGCATGTGGACAGTGAAGGTGGCCACAGGGACCTCTGAGAGCCAAGGGCACTGGCGGGCGCTTCCAGGCCTGAGGAGCAGATTCTGGAGGAAGGTCCCAGCTCCTGTCCGGCCTGGGAGGGGCTGGAACATCCCCCCTCCTTCCTCCCAGTGCCACGGGAGGGAGGAGCAGTGCCCCAGAGCCACCCGGCAGCCGTTAACTCCAGCCCCCTCAGAGGCGAAGCCCAGAATCCAGGCTTCCCCAACAGCTGGCCTCGGGTGTGAAGGGGGCGGACACCTCCCACCCTGCTCACCCAGGCCGCGCCCTTCCCGCTTCCCTGACCAAAGCACCCAATGTACCAGAGCCTGTGGGCCAGCAAACCCCAGGGGGCTCAGCCCCAGTGTAGCACTTGGCCCCAGGTGACCCAGCCCCTTGGCAGCAAGAGCCCTCCTCAGGTGGCTGGCTGAGCTTCCGGGCAATGCCACGGGCCCGGAGCTGGGACAGGCACAGCAGCGTCTGCGGTGACCATAGGGCATCTGTATCAGCTTCTCCCTGTGTCCTGATGTTTCAAAGAGCCCACCCTCAGGATAAGCCCCCATCCTGGGGAGCTCCTGTGCGAGCCTCCCGACCGCTGGGAGGGACGCTCCACCCCTGGGGAGACAACCATCGGCTAGACTTATGTCTTCTGTTGGGGGGTCACTGCCCCTCAGCGGGGGTGAGTGTCCAGAGGAAGGAGGGAAGGGAGTTGGGAATTCAGGCTCTCCTAGCGCCCTGACCCTCTGCTGCCCTCGGAACCTGACTTCTGGTAGCCTGCCCCATCCCCAGTGCCACCCCAGCTCCTGATGCCTACTTGGCGCCCAGGGAATGTGCGCCCGCTGGGGGCAGTGACTGTCCCCTGCATGGTGCTGGCTGGCTGGTGAACATGTCCCTGGCTCGGCGCCAGAGGGCTGGAACAGACAGCTTCATGAGAGCAGAAGTCTCTTGGATCCTGGACCTCAGAGAGATGGGGGCCTCCGCTGAGAGTGTTAAAAATAGAGGCCGTTAAAAAAATGTTTTTAACGAACTGATGGAAATTCCCTTTATCAAAAGGAGTGGCTGTAAATCAAGCTACAAGTGATGTGCCCAAGAGCTGAGGACTGTTTCTTGAACAAATAATGCAATCCTGGGGATTTCCCTGGGGACAGCCGCGAGCGGCCACCTCTGCTCAGGAGTGCCGTGGCTGACTCAGGGGTCTGTGGTGGGCCATGGGGGTGGGGACCTGCGGAAAGCAGCCACTCAGCCCTCATTAAAAATAAAACACTGACAGTTCATCCCTGGACTTTGCAAATAAACAAGGGGCCCCATGGAAAGGCTGCTATGTGAAGAAAATGCCGTTGGCCCCCTCCACACAGACCAGCACTTCACCAGCTAGACGTTTGCACAGGAAAGGCAAAGATCCAGACACATAATTTGGGGAGGGTCCTGGGCTAAGGTCTGGGCATCAGAGACCAGGGACAACTGTGGCTAGTCAAGCGGCCCTCTAGACAGAAGCGAGCCCCATGCCCCGCCAGGCTCTGGGGTGCCCATTCCTGGAGGTGAATGCTCCCCCCTGTCACAGCCAGTCAGAGCCTCTGCCCTCTCACAACTGGCTGCAGAATTCCTGAATCGTTAAAGCTGATTCCCCGCTGCCCAGGCCAGCAGGGCCAGACCAGGCTGATGCCCGGAGCTGTGAGCTGCAGGAGAACCTGTCTGTGGGGTCAAGCCCCAGGCTGGCCCCATGGGTGGGTGCCCTTGCACCATGTGCCCTGGGGGGCCCGGCTGGTCAGGTGACTCAGTTACTGCCTGGGTCGCAGCACCCCTGGGCCTGGCTTCTCTCAGTAAAACCAGTGAATGGGACCTCAGCTGCTGTCATGTGAGCTGTGACCTCCTGTCCTCCCACCAGCTCCTGTTGGCTCCTGGGGCCACCCCACACCTTCCCACAGGATCACATAATTGGCCCGGGGAAGAATCTTGCTAAAAGCTCCCAGGTGGTGCTACTGTGAGCCCGGGTGTGTACCCCTGCTGAGACACCCAGCAGCCCAGGTGGTGCAGGGGGATGTTCTGGACACAGTGCCAAGTGGCTGGCATATGGAATCTGAGGACTCTACTGTTAGCATGGGATGGCCTGTCCCACCTGGTGACAGTGTTATCATGAAGGTCTGGTGAGCTGTGACTTGTAGCGTGCTATGCAAATGCTCACCATTCACGGCATGGCTTTAGGAAGACACGCAGGCTAAATGCAGGCTTGTTTGTAGGCTGGGGCGCTGCGCCCACAAACGATGGAGCATGACAGGCTCAGCCCAGTGGGTGAGCACCTGCAGAGCCTCAGGGGGCATAGCCTGACCTCTCGCGGGAGCTGGTGGGGCCGTCCTCTTCCTCCCTCCTCCTCCTTGTCTCCCTGCTGGCTGGGGGGCCCGTCTTGACCAAGGCCCCTGGTTTGGGACCATCTCTTAGATGTCCTTGTCTGAATAAAGAGGTCTGAACGCTTCTCCGTGCAGAGACCAGAGTGCTGGCCTGAGGGTCTTGGGGAGTGCATACCCGTTCTGGAGCTTTTTCAGAAGAAAATTGAAGGCTTTTGGAATTGGATATGAACAATTTAAAAACTAGTTTGTGTATGTATTTGCCAGGTTCTCCTGCCTAAATCTTAACCTCCACGGCCGCTTCACCCCAGCGGATGCCTCCCTGATCTACCTGCTGTGGGGCTCTGACTGCAAGAGGTGCGGTGACCTTGCGTGCTGGCTGCCCAGGGATCGGGGACAGACCCTGGAGTGTGGCACAAATGTCCTGGCTGTCTGGTGGCCTCTCAGAGGGCAGCCCCAGGCACACGTCCTGTGGAGGACCATGGAGGGGTCTGCGGGGACGCCTCCTGCCTGGCCAGGAAGCTGGGAGCTCTGGCACGAGGACACCGGGCGGCTTAGCAGGAAACCCATGCATCTCTGGCAGGGGGATTTCCGTGTCTCAGCTGAGCACCACACTGGGTGCTGATCCTCCCAGCTGGCAGGCAGGCACGGCCACCCCAGCTCTGACCAGAGGGCTCTGCCTCTGTGGGCTGGGCCTCTAGGCCCTTCCCCACCAGCCCCTAGCCTGGGCTCAGAGGCCATCACAAGGACAGCCTGAGACTTGGGGCGGACAGGTCCCTGCACCCCATAGATTGCAGTCCCCCAGCCCCCTGTAGAGAAAGCTCTTGAGTAGGAGGAGTGTTGGGCACAGGGAAGACAGCAGCCATAACTGCAGACCTAACATCCTAACAGCTGTCACTCACTAGCGCACGGCGCACCCTTCTAGCTGTGTCTGTGCAGAGACCCTGGCTGGGCGGGGAGCGGGCACTGCAGACACAGAGGGGCACACAGCACTGGAAGGGCTGGCAGTGGTCTCAGGCCCTGCCTAAACTGCCCTCCCACCTGGTGGGAACCAGGGAGCACCTGCAATTCTCCCTGTTGTGGAAGGAATGCCAGGCTGCCTGAGGGAAATCCTGTGCGCTTAGAAGTGTCCTTTCTGACCTGGCTTCTTGGGCTATGAAAGTGTCACTTCCTCTTGTAGGTCCTATAGGCAGACAGGAAGTTCAGGAAAGTGACTTTAGCGAAAAATCGTGCTTTCCCTCTTACTGGATTCTTCCAAAGGCTGTTGGCTGACGTAGTTCAGGGTGCAGGGTGGATCTAGCCTGTGTCAGACGCGCCCCCACAGTCCTGCAGCTGTCTGCGTGGCTTGGGATGACATCCCCAAGCCCCAAAACCCTGGCCCCAAAGCACAGGCTCACACAGCGCTCACATGCCCACGGACAGGCCCAGCTCTCCCCCAGAAAGACGAGGAAAGCCACTTCCCAGCCAGAGTGCCACTGGGAGCAAGCTCGAGACACCCTAAACCAGACTGCCTTGTTGATGTGGGCCCACTAATCCTGATTGCATGACACAGCTTTTCAGGATGAGAAAAACCCAGGTCAACCCCTTCTCCCAGCATGGTGGGTCCCCTCTGAGTACGGAGGCCCCCTGACCATGGGTCTTGTCTGCCACCAGTGGCCTTTCCCAGACATGGGGCCTCCCTACTGCACACCTGTCCTGGGCTTTGCTGGACGCTGTGTTTCATATATTAAGTAAAGGATCCCTGGGCTGTACCACCACATGGTGCCGTTGGTCCACAGTCTCCCTCAGGCTAGTGGATTTTACCATCCCTGGAACAGCAGGTGCAGCTTCTCACCTGTGCATCTGGACACCCACACCTGCTTGGCAGCCCCCCACCACACCCCACCCCTCATCACTGTCCCTGGTCCCAAAGAGCAAAAATTCTACTCACATGGTACTGTGAACCCTCATCCCTCCTGAAGTGATCAGCTAGACTCACAGGAAGGGATTTTCTTCTTCAAACTGGGAGGTTTTATTGGAAGGCGAGCTGAGAACCCAATAGATTACACAAACAAGTGTAGAGGTTCCAGGATTATGGCAGCACATGTAGGTATAAAGGGAAAACCTCTGAAAGCCCGAGATGCTGAAGCCCTGCACGCACAGCTCCAGCACAACGCGGGCCCGAGGGCCCAGGTGGGAAGCCGCCGATGGTTGCAGGGTGAGGCTGTGGCAGCGGCCAGGCAGCACCAGGAGCCTGTGCCTTCCTGTGAGGTGGCTGGTGGCGGCACTCTGGCCTGCGTGCCACTTGCCTGGCACAGTCTCCGCAGGAAAGGAGCCCCGAACTCTTCACAGTTGTTGCTGAGTCTGGGCCCCTTACGCAGGTTGACCCCTTTCGGAGGAATTGCTGCGTCCTTGGTGACGGGCCCCTAGACCCCAAACGCAGTCCCCTGAGGCACAGGAGGGCCCAGAGCTTCGCTTTCAGCTGAGAAGAAAGTTGGTTAGATTCAAGGCTCCATGCATCCCCCCCTTATTTTAGGAAGTGATTTTATTTTTTAAGTAACTTTTCTCCCCTAAAGTGTGGCTCTCTAGCATCCGATTTGGGGTTTGGATAGAATCCCAGGTGCAGCTCTCCTGTCTGGGCCGAGGTGGGCCGGCTGCACCCTCCAGCCTGCCCGAGGATGGTCTTGAGGGTCCTGGCTCTTTGCCAGTAGGTGATGGGCCTTGCAGGATGGGGCTCTGTGGTCACACCAGCCCCGGCAGCCCCGAGGCCGGCCACTGCTCCAAGGAGGCCATCCGGCTTGCCCTCCAGCCTCGCTCCCACCTGCGCCTGGCCTCCTGGAGATTGAAGGCCCGTTTCCCAGGGCCACCATGTCCCCATCCCTGGGTGGGGCTGCCCTCACCCCCGAGGGGTCTGAGCTGGCAAGGAAGGGGCAGAGGCCCCAGGAGGCCCAAGGAAGGTGGGGTCTAGGGACTCCAGGGTCTGCTGTGTAGCCTGTGAGGAGAAAGCCCTCCAACCCTCGGCCACCTTGGCAGCCTGGATGTTGTCAGCAGCCCGGCCCAAGTCCCACTGGTAGAGGTGGTTTAAGAGTGAGGTCACAGGAGGGGTACCATGGGAGCCAGGGCCAGCGCCCCCTGCACCGGGCATCATGACCTCCTGCTATGATGCCCTGCGGGCAGCGTGCTGGCAGGCACAGGGTGGGCCAAGGTTCCCCACGGGGCCTGCTGCTCACAGAGCATGTGGGTGGGGGGTGGCCACACGTAGTCATTAGAGGGGCCAGAACCTTGGTGGGTGGCACAGCGCCAGCCCACGGGCGGCCCCCACCCCCACCCCATGCCCGCACCGGACTTCAGCTGGGCCGCAGGTCTGTGGGGCCCACCTCCCCTCGGGCTCTGGCCTCTCTCAGCCCCTCCTGCCTCCATGTCCCCCGGCTTCCTCTCTCCTCCTCAGGGTGCTGTGAGGGGTCCAATAGCGTCCCTGCCAAAACTCAGGTCCGGGACCTGCCATACCTGGCTTATTTAGAAATAGAGTCTCTGCAGATGGAAACAGCTCAGAGGAGGTCCCTTGGGTTCGGGTGGGCCCTAAACCCAATGGCTGGTGTCCTTGCAGGACGAGGAGAGTCAGATGCAATGGCAGAGGGCTGCAGCCCCGACCCCCAGAGCCACCTGGGGTGCCTGGAAGCCGGCGGGTCCGCCCTCAGAGGCCGGAGGGGCTAGCCCTGGTGACGCTCTCGGTCTTGGACTCGGGCCTCCAAATCAGGAGAGCAATGCGTCGCTCTGAGTCATCCAGGCCACGCACCCTACGTGTCCCCCCGATCTCTCCTCGTCCTGAGCCTGGCCTGGCAAAGGGGCAGATGCACCACTGTCTGGGACCCCCAGGTCCTGGCCCAGCTGCCATTTGTTCCCATCACCACCTAGTCATGTTCTGGGCTCAGGGGAATGGTGACAGAGGGGGGCTCACCCTGATCTTCACTGCCTCACGTCCCCTCCATGGGTCTGTTCATTTGGGGTATTCTGAGCCCCATGTGCAGCCATGCCACCCCAAGAGACTGCCCTTGTGTGGTCTGGCTGCTCTGGACCTCAGCCACTCCCCCGGCCCCCAGTGGCAGTGCTCCCCACTGATGGCAGCGTTCCTGAGCCCCAAGCAATGGGGACATGAGGGCGCAGGTCTCACCCTGGGACTACTGAGCTTTGGGAGTGAGTGGATGCTACACAGTGTCCCCACCTTCTGCCCCTCAGAGGCCAGCAGCAATCCCCAAGTGTGCCAACTGAAATGCCTCCAGACCTTGGCCATTGCCTCCTCGGGGTGAGCCCCCAGGGTGGTAATGGCTGGGGCAGTGGCCGTCCCCAGAGCAGCAGTGAGGACCCCCCTGCGCCAGCACCACTGCTGACCAAGGTCATCAGGCCGGCACAGCTTACAGATTGTATTGTCTTAAATCAGGTTTCTGGACACAGACACCTAAACACTGGCAGTCGGCCGTCTACAACACAGCCAGGAGCAGGAGCCATTGAGGCTGAAAGGGCAAAGGGCACCGACGGGTCTCCCTGAGGCCCAAGAGAGCAGTGATGGGGACCGCCCAGGAGCTGGGCACTCAAGGCACCCAGCGTGGACAGCACAGCCCCCCGGGCCAGGCAGAACCACAAGCACGTGGTGGGAGGGGGCGTCAGGCCAGCCTCCACACCGGGCGTGATGGGGCAGAACCGGGCGCCCAGCCATGCCTCCTCCCCTGGGGAGGAAACTGGCTCTGATAGGTAAAACGGACGGGGCCTGGGTGAGAACCCAGGCAGAGTATCTCGGGGTCAGCTCAGTCGGCCAAGCAGTGGGCAGCCTGCAGGGTGGGGTGGGGCCCTGAGCAGGGCTCAGGGAGGGCCCACAGGACATGCCACAGTCCTGGGTCACTTCCCGGCATGGCAGCCCGCCTTCCTGCGCCCAGGCGGCCTCTGAGCTTTTCGCTCTGCACACCCACTAGCAGACTTTGTGGGTGGCTCTTCTGGCAGCCTGCCCTCTAAGGTGTTCAGGTGAGGTCAGGGCAGGTGAGGGCCACGCCCATTACAAGCCACGTGAGGACTTTTGGCATAACAACCGACAAAGGAATGATCTCTCGTAGCAAGCGTGGGGCTCAGCTTCATGTCTGAGCCTGGTCCCCTTTGTCTGCACATGCCAGCCTGCCAGTGCTGAATGGCCCCATTTTCCTGGGGTGTGAACACCTGGGTTACCTGGCAGCCTCCTTGCAGAACCTTCTGGGAACTTACACTGCTGGATTCATCGAGGGCAGCAACATGGAAACCATCAGGGGAGGACAGGGCCACAGGCTGCCTGTCCCCTTGTAGGGCTGGTGGCCCTGAGGAGCCTGTCGTCTGCATCGGAGGTCTTGTGGTGTGCCGCTTCTGGGGGGAGCCAGGCAGGAGGCCCTGGCCCTGGCACAGGGTGGCAAGGAGCTGCCCGCCATACACTGAGGGGATTACTGCTGTGTTCTGGAGGCTGCCTCGCCCCAGGAGGACACATCTCCACCACTTAACGGCCCGCGCTGAAGACCTGCAGTGATCACGTAGCCAAGTTGGTGTCCACTGGACACCATCCTCACCCCCGGCGAGCTCAGCTTCTGCTCTCCCCAGTGCGTGCCTCTGGCCACAGAGCCCCAAGTCCTGGAAGCCACTGTCCTGCTGCATGGGCCCCTGGCAGGCTTTCTTCTTGCAGAGGTCATCTGTGCTTTTCAAGAGGGAAGCCTAGCTTTTGACCAAAACAAACGAGGGCAGACTTTCTTACCAGTGAATGTCCCAGTGGAAGATGACCAGGAGCCTTTCAGGAGTTCCGCAGTGCTGTTGCCTGCATTTAGGACACACACACACGCACGTGGGGTGGAGACAGCGGCCTGTATGGCAGAGTTGCAGTGAGCCCTGCACCCACATCTCCCGAAAATACCCTTGAGTGACCTCCATCCAGCAGATGTCCAGGAGGAGAGTGAGCATGACACCCCGTCTTCTGCACTTGGCAGCAAAGGTGGGGAGCCCACCTGCTTGGCACATGTCTCCAGGGCTGCTGACCTTTGGAAAAGGTCTCACCCTGGGACGGCAAAGCACCTGGCTGGCTCATCCTGCCAGGGAAGCCTGCGTGTGGCCCTCTAGGCCAGAGGGACTCTGCATCCATGAAGCCCCCTTGTTAATGGTGCAGGTGGGGGCAGATGGTCCCTTCCTGCCACCAGGCCAGCCTGGGTCAGTTCCTGAGCTGCTGTCCAACGTTGCTCCTGGTCATTCACAGAAGCCCTGTCCATGTGCTGGGCAGTGAGTTCTCATCCAACATGGTCTTGGAAGGAAAGAGAGGGGAGAGGCCATGAGGCATGGGTGCCCGCTCCTTCCCACTTTGCAGGCAAAGGGGTGGGTCTACTCAGGACCTGGGATGGCGAAAGCACCACCCACAGGAAGCTCACTGGACTCTAAGAGCAGGCAGGCCCTAACATTCTAGAAATCATGTTCCCAAGTCATCTGAAACTGGCTGCCTGGGCCCCGGGAGCACCTCCTGCAGCAGCAGCCAGCCAGTGTGACCTGGCCGCACTAGCGGGCCCACTTGTGGGGTGCCGTGGGCCAGCCGGGCACCCCACTGCAGGCCATGCACACCCTGGGTCAACCTGCTTAGAGGTGGAGAAACGGGGCCCAGAGAGGTGCGGCAGCTTGCCTGGGGTGCCAAGTGCAGGCCGAGGCCCAAGGCCCCTTGCAGCCTGAGGCACCTGCCGGGGGGGAATGGGAGACTGTGTGAACATTTTTCCCAAATATTCAATCTTTACTCCTGGGACTGTGGAGTGCTCACCTCACCCAAGAAACATCAAATACCTGTTCTGTTAGAAGGGACTTGGTGTCTGGACCCACCTGAGACCCCCGTGGGACAGGGGGGGAGGGTGGCACCCAGGGAGGCATGAGGACGGGTGAGGTCACTTGCTTGATGGAGGCGCCCAGGAGCCACTGTCCCATCCTCTGTGCTTCTGTGTATGTTTGGAAAATTCTGTGACCCAGAGTGAGCGAATGTACACAGCACAGGACTACATGCCAAAGGACCAGTGGGAAAGGCCTTCCCTGGGGGTTCCCTGTGTCTCTGAAAATGGAAACATCCACTTTCTGGTTGAGTTATTGCTTGTGCCAAAAGGCAAACGCGGAGAAAGCGGCCACCCAACCCGCCTGGGCCCACGTGCATGACCCACGCGCTCTCCCCACGCACCTCCTTCCCTCCTGGCAAACTCACCAGGGAGTTCCTGCTCCGGCCTGGCTGCCTGGCACCTGCTGGGACAAACCAGAAATGCTCAGGGCCAGCAGCGAGGGCTGGGGAGGGCAGCTCGGATGGTCCCAGTGGCCTCGAGGGCTCCAGGCAGGCACCATGAGGGGATCCCAGGTGCCCCTGCTCTCCAGAGATCCTGTCTAAGAGGTGGGCACAGGAAGCACTTTAAGCTGCTCTGTGCCCTGGGCCAGGGCTTCCTCCCAGGGCCTGGCTGGTGGGCAGCAGAGTCATGGCACTATTTTTGGGAAGATGGAATTGGCAACAGACTGGAAACTCCAGGGCAGCGCACGACTCTCCTGCCCTAGGGAGGGCACTAGCTGTGAGTGACTCTTTAACCCAGTGGTTGCCCTGCTCCATTTAACTTTTCCTCCTGGGGATCCAGGAAGATCCCAACTTTGTCATTAGGACCTTTGGGGATGCCTGCCAACCTCCACGACCAGGCCAACCAGAGGAGACTGCCCTGTGCTCCCAAAGGCTGGCCCTGCAGGCCTCTCTTGTGGACACTTGGGTCTTGCGTGACCAGGTCCAGTTTCTAGGCTTTTCTGCCTCTACTGAGTGGCTACTTGGTTTTACAAGGTCCAAACCCAGACTTTCTGTATCTGTGGCCGAGTCTGGCCAGAACTCAGCAGCCAGGCATGCAGGGATTGAAGGCAGCTCAGCTTCCAGAGAGATGAGCCCCGTGCTGGCCACTGAATTTGGAGCGGGGCATTCCCACCCCAAAGTGGGAGATGGGGCTTCCCACGGTGCCCTTTGCCTCGGCTGTGTCACGAGCATGCAGGCTAAGGGCTCCTGGAGAAGATGGGGTGTCACCACTATTAACACTGAGCTCCAAATGACAGCAGCATCCTGAAACAGGAAACCACTCCCCCTGGCAAAATACAGCCATCCACAGTACCTGTGTGGCTGCTGTGGGGACACCTGCTTCTGTACACCCAGCCCACAGCCACGGCCACGACCACGGCCACACCCAGCAGGGCAAGGATGCTGAGCACGGCCCTGTTCTTCTCATGGGTGTTGGCCTGGCTCTCCATCATGCTGTCCTTGGTTCCAGAGACTGTCTCTACGGAGAGAGCAAAGTAACCTGACTTAAAGGGCAGGAGGCAAAAGGCCTTTTTCACCAGCAGAGACGGGAGCTCAGGGAAGTTTCAGAGCCAGGCCTCCCCGCATGACTGCCGTCTTTCAAATGTAAGGCTGATGGAGAGAAGGGTTTCCTCTCCTTGGTGAGCCTCCATCTCTTCCAGGGGTGTCACTCCTGCCCATCCTACCTTGGTGACGTGCGATCCCAGCCCCTTTAACGGCCACACCTGGTGGGGGGCGGACAGAGCAGGAAGCGCAGATTTTTCCTGGCTTTCTTATTAATTTTTTTCTAGGTTTATTGCTGGCTCTTAAATAAAAAATCGAGGTGAAAATAACATAACATAAAATTCACCATTTTAAGGTGAACAATTCTGTGGTATTTAGTACATTCAGTGTGATGCAGCCATAACCACTATCTAATTCCAGAATATTCCACCACCCCAAAAGGAAACCTCCTCCCCATGAGCAGTCATGCATCCCACATCCCTCCCTCAGCCTTGGTCACCTTGAATCCACTTTCTGTCTCCAAGGATTTGCCTAATCTGGATATTTGCCATACAACGTGTGACCCTCCGTGTCTGGCTCCGTCACTTAGCCTCACATTCCAGGTGCATCCCCGTCGTAGTGTGGGTCATGCCTTCTTCCTTCTCGGGGCTGAATACGACCCCACTGTGTGGGTGGGCCACGTGGCAGGTCCCTGCACCGTCCGTGCTACTTGGGCTGTTCCTGCCTTTTGGGCACTGTGGCCAGGGCTGCCACGGACATTCATGTGTGAGTGTGTGTTTGAGTCCTGTTTTCACTTCTTTTGGGTCTGTGCCTTAGGCCTAGGGTTGCAGGGTCGTGTGGAAACTGTTTAGATTCTTGAGGAATGGCCAGACTGCTTCCACAGTGCCTGCAACATTTCACACCCCCCGCAGTGCACAGGGACCAGTCCCTACTGTCCTAGTACCCAGCTGTTCAGCCCCTGGGAAAGTGGTTCTCACGGGCAGACAAGCCACAGCTTTCCTGGAGAGCCCATGACAAATGCCCTGTGTTTCTCCAAACCTGCAGAAACCATGAGCTAGACAGCGGCTTGGAATTAAATGCACCTTAAAATCATCTGGAAGCTTTTAAACATGTCCTGATGCCCAGACAGCCCCAAGGTGCTGACCAGTGGGTCTGGGCACGGGGGCTTTCACAGATTCCCCAGGCTGTCCCACGAGGCCACCAGGGTCGGGGCCCCTGCCTGAGGAGAACCTTCCAGTTGCCCTTCTGCCTGCTGCCCGGGCTGCTCTGCAAGGGAGACCACCACCCAGGGACAGAGGTTCAGAGGTGGGCTCCTTGGTGCAGCGCTTGTCCTGGTCCATTCTGGCTCAGAGACCACGACCACCGAGTCACAGGGCTGTGCTCTGATCAGGGAGGAGGGAGTCGGCCCTGCAGGTCAGGGCCGGTGTCATGGCCTGTGACCTGTGCAGGCTCAGGGGCGCGGTCAGAGGGCCTGTGCTCAGCCCAGTGCTCTGCTGTTGTCATCTTGAATTTTTATCACTTCTGAACAAAGACCCGTGCATTTCCTTACACGCGGCAGCAGGCCCCGTGGGCTGCCTAATGGGTCCCTGCAGCAGGCGGGGCCCACCGAGCCCAGCCCCCTCCCCCAGCCTCCTTCCACGTGTCATCTCCACACTGGAGATGGGAGCCTATGGCTTCTGTGAAGGAGTCACCCACCCACACCCTTCCCCAGAGAGGCCCTGGGCCCCCAGCAGGCCCACTGAGACCCCCCAGCGAGGGGGTCTTTCCGGGGGCACACGCCCAAAGACCAGCAGGTGCGGGCTTCCCTCCTCCCGCTGCTGCCTGGTCCTGTGGCTCCTGAAATGTTACATGACCTTTTAGGCCTCAGTCCCTCCTCTGTAAAATGGGTCACCAGAACTGACCCAGGAGTGAAGATTACATTAAGCAATGTGCCTCAAGCAACCAGCCCCAGTCCTGCCCTTGGCAGCCGCAGTGAACTTGTTGCCTGGCTGTCCCCTTCTCGCCCTGCCACCCACTGAAGCTAATGCCAACTGCCGAGTTCCCCAAAGGGGCTTGGTCTCCTGCCTGATAGGGCTTCCCCGCCACCACGGCCCACCGTCCTGGGTTGGGGGGCATGCACACGCAGGTGACCTTACCTGTCTGGCTGCTGACAGTCAGGTTTTGGTGCAAAAGCACGTTCTCTATGCAGCAGCCGACATTCACGTTGGGGATCCGCCTGATCCTCAGGATGCTGACCACGTCATACAGGCCCCGCTCATTCAGGGAGATGGTGCTGTTCTGCAGGGCTGTGTCCAGCAGGCTGTTGTCCGTCTTGTTGATCCAGTACACGTTTGGTTTTGGGTAGCCGTTTGTGGATGTGCATGTGAAGGCAAGCTCCTCGCCCTGCTCAGGGCTGCTCAGGGCGCTGACCACGGGCATGCTGTAGTTTGCTGCAGGGGAGGGAAAATGCCAGGTTCTGAAGGTCAAAGACAGAGGGGCACAGGGTGCCAGTGGCCAGGTCAGAGGGGAGGTGGCCTGCTGTGCCCTGACCTGGTGGAGAGGCAGGGCCAGGGCTGTGGTCTGGGGGTGGCTATGAGGCCCTGTTCTGCCCAAATGTCATCCCCACGGACCCCAAAAAAGGGGCCACTGAGCCCGGTGGGCAGTGACCAGCAGTGCCCCCTGGCCCAGGGAGGAGGCCTCCTTCGAATCTAATGTCTTGGGGAGCATGTAATTCACCTGACAGGCACACAGCCTATCTCGTCACTGAGCTGAAGGCCTTGGTTAACTCTAATTCTCTTCCTAGGTTCTGATCTCACTTAGTGCTTCACAGCACCCCTCTTAATTCATTTTTTAAAAATCTGGTTTGGGTTGAGATGGAGAATTCAAAGCAAGGACAGCGAGATTAGTAGGACTTCTGTGCAGCCAGGTAGCCTCGGGTTTGGGAAAAGCCTCTTATGAGTTGAATGATTTTTTTAAACTTCACACACAGTTAAACAGAAGCCTGCTAACATGAGGATTTTCTTTATGTGAAGAAACAGGTAAATAAACCAGAAAACAGGTCTTATCAGCACTGTTTCCAGGGTGGAAGGCTGAGCTGAATCGGCTGTCAGCTTTGCCGGTCTTACCTGCCACGTGCAGTGTGACCACGACTTTCAGAATCATTTCTAACTCCCTAAACACCAGGCAATTAAATTTCTGTTCATCCTGGGGGGTGATGTTGTACAGATGCAGAGAGAAGTCTCCCCTCTTCATGCGGTCCAGGGACAGGTGGGCCCGGTCCTTGTAGTGGCTGTCCTTATGGCCTGCGGAGCCATTGCGGGCAAGGTAGTATGTCACCACAGTGGTATTATTCAGACTGGCAGTGTGTGGCTTGCCCATATGCGATTGTTCAGTGACGTTGATTTGCCAATACACATGAAGGTCATTTAAATCAAAACTGTTCTTTTTGGGGTAAATGCAGCTGAGCTCGACGTCGCTGCCCACCATGGCTCTAACTTCTTTCCCTTGAATATCTGCAAGGATCAACAAAGCACGCAGCTTATTCTCCGCAGGTGACTCTCAGCTTTCCAGGTTGTTCTATTAGGGGTGGGGGGTAGTCTTGGTTGCGAGACTCAGACACCTTCTACCTCATTTCAGTAGAAGAATGTATTAGTAAGATACACACTGGAATGCAACAGTATTTTAAACATGCAGACATTTGCGGAAAGCCACTCCAGGGCAGCATCGGATGTGACCTATGGTGATGTTAGAGGCCAGCGCTGGGAGAGGCAGGGGACCGCTCTGCACTGTTCGTGCCACTTCTTGGGAGCTTATAATTAATTAAAAATTAAAAGGGTTTTACAAGATTCAGACATTTAAAAGAGAGTATCCGTTTCTCAGCAGCAGCATATGATGGGGTTCACACTACATCAGAAAAGGCCCACTTGAGGTATCCAGTGTTTTCCAGTCTACGCAGCCACTTAAACGCCTGCAGGGACAGCACCTCCCCCTGTGGCTGGAAGGCTGGGCCTGGCCCTGGTCTCAGCTGCAGGCGGAATCCCTGTTCCTTGCTCTTCTGGAAGCTGGTGCTTTGGGGGCTCCCCTGGGCTGACTGGGGAGACATCAGGGCTGGGAGAAGCAGAAGGCCCAGGTCGGGCTCATCTGCACAGCAGAGGGACTGAACTATGTAGAGGAACAGCCTTCCACCCACACTAAACACCTTGTGAAACCAGGGCAAGGGACTGGACAAGCCTCTCCTCTGAGCCTGTAATTCCACATGTTACCTGAGGCCTGGAGTCCTGGGAAAGCAAGGAGGGCTGTGGTGAGGTCCCTGTACCCCGAGGCACCCCCCCAGCACCGAAGGGCTTGGAAGCTGGGCTCCTGCCCAGTAAGAGCACCGTCTGGACTTACCGGCTTGCAGGCCGATGAGCAACAGCAGGAGCAGCCAGGGACTGGAAAACAAACAACCAGAATGGCAGTGAGTTTCTGCTTCTCCCAAAGGGGCGGCAGCAGCTTCTCACAGGCAGGAGTAGGCTACACCCACACAGAAATGCGAACACGTTGCCAGCCAGCCAGTGCCCTGGTGAGGTTCCAGGGAGGGAATTCAGGGAGAGGAATCAGGCCCAGCCATTCTCGGGCCAGTCCCAGGCCTGGGCCAGCTGCAGGGAAGAGAGCATGCTCATAAAGGGTGGAGAAGGCCACCCACTCGAGGGCATGCCTTCTACCTGCTGGTGGCCTAGCCTCGTCAGGGATGGATTACAAGAAATTGTATGAGATCAGAAACAAATGCTTTCAAGGTATTTCTAGCAAGAGCTGCATTTAAATTTGGGGGAGACATATAACACTCCCAATGGCAGGGTCAGGTGAGTTACAGGCCTGCCATTTAAAGGAACATGGTCATTCTGAATCCAAATCTGGTGGCTTCTCCAGAGCTGGTGGGCAGTTCGGCGACCAGGGGTTCACAAACCCTCCAGCCACTTCCCAGGCTCCCCCAGCCTCTGACCTTGGTGCCTTTGCCCCCTGCCTGCCTCAGCCTAGCTCCCCTTCCTGCATGTCTCCTGGGATGCTGTGTCCTCAAGCTCTGCACCTAAAGAAACCCTGCCCCACCCCAAGAGCTGTCATGTGAGTCTGCATGGAGGCCTCCACTCCCAAGTGGCCACCAGCAAGCACCACTCTCCTGCCCAAGCCAGGCCCTGGGCCACCAGGAGCCCTCCACGCCCCAAGACTGCAGCCTGCAGGTGGGCCTGTCCTCTCTCATTGTCCCTGTTGGGGCCACAATTCCCACTTGTGGGGACCATTTCAATAACCCCCACCTCCAGTCTTGACCCCTCCAGCCATCTTCCCCAGGGCCAGAGGAACCCTCTGCCATACAAGGCTGTGGAAGCTCCGGAGTCCCCCACTGGTCTCCCCTGGTACCCACCCAGTGGGCGCTCGCCAGGCCCACCCTATCTGTGCTCAGGATGCAGGACCATGTGCCTCGAGGGCTTCCTCAGGGTGTCTGGGGGCTTTCTGGGGAGGAGGATGGGTGCACGTACAGGCTCTGAGCTCTGGCAAGGGAGGTGGGAGTGCCTCCCTCGCTGGGTGCTGCCTGCCTGCCTCTCTGTAGGCCTCTCTGTGCCCTCTCCTCGGGCCCTCCTACCACTCTGCTGTCCCACCTGCCCCCCAGTCCCCCAGACTCCAGAATGTGGGTGGCCCTGATATTCTAGTACTTAGGTTTTTCTCTCTTGAGAAAATGTTCTTCACTACCTACATTTCTAACTGGGGAGACTGGGTGAAGGGGCCCAGGTGTGGGGGAGGTTTTGGACTGGGTGGGTGGGGCACCTAGGGACAGGGTACCTCACCAGCTCGTCACCCGGGCACATGCTGTGGACCCCACCATACACCCTGAAGAGGGTATTTTGGCAAAAAGCTGGGAGCTGTCATTCCACCCCTTGGGGCTGGCAGTGACCTGGAGTGACAGAAGGTCCCTGAGGCAGCCCCACCTTCCAGGCTGACTGCTGTGGGGAGGGCATGTCATCACACGGCAGGCACCAGCTGCCCTTGGAGGTATCCGACATCCTCCTGGGCACAGAGCGGTCACATCCTACCTTCGGGGCAATCGCTGAGCGCGGGACAGCGGGCGGGCAGGGAAGCGGGGCGGGGAGCGCGAGTCGGCTTCCAGCTTTCGCTCTGTCCCTTCCCTCTGTGGACCCGCCCCCAAGCACACCCACGCGCCGCCGCTGTGCCCACTGCCCGGCCAGCGAGTAACCGCGGTCGCCCCGCCGGGCGAGCGGGTCCCCATCCGGCCACCTCGGGTCCCCGCTCCCGACCGCCGCGCCTCCGCTCCTTCCCGCCGCGCCGGGCTGTTTGGCCCGCGCGCTCACCTTCTCAGCCGCATGGTGGGGCCTGACCCCGGGCCGCGGGAGCCCCAGGGGCGCCGGACACGGAGCTGGGGAGACCTCGGAGCGCGGGAGACCTCGGAGAGCCGGAGACCGCCGGCGGCGGGCGGCCTGGGAAAACCGGGGGCCTCAGGCCGCGGGAGCCCGCGGAGCGCGGGAGCCTTCGGGGCTCAGTGCTCGGGCCGCGGGGACCTCGGAAAGCCGGAGGCCAACCGCACCCGCGTCCGCCGCGCCGCTGGGACTCTGAGCGCGGAGCGGGTGGCCGGCGAGGAGCTGGCCCGGCCCCGCCCCCCGGCCCGCCCCTGGCCCCGCCCCCGCCCCGTCACTCCCGGGACCACGGCGGCGGACGCGGCGCCGACGAGCGGAAGCTCGGTCACCGGCGCCAGAAAGCGCAGCCCTTCCCGGGCCAGGCCTCACGTCGGGGCCCCGTGGGCGCCGGAGATGGGCAGCTCAGGGCGCCGAGGGAGGCCCGCCCGGCTGGGGGCGCCGTGCTGCCTGCCGCCCTCTCGGGGCCGAGCCGAGACCTTCCAACCGTAGGTGAAGTCGGGGGCCCACGACAGTTGAGGAACGAACGAAGGAGTAGAGGAAGGAGGGCAGGCCAGCGGCCGGCTCCACCGCCCAGCCCCGCCGGGGCCCTTCGGCCCGGCTTTGCTCCCCCGTCCTCCGTGGGGCCCTGGCACCCGCGCTGCGCACTGAGTGCGGACCCCGGGTGGGCGCCGACGGAGAGAGAGAGGCGGGGCCGCGAGGAAGAGGGCGCCCCTCCCGCACAGCCGCCTCGGTCCGCAGGCTGGGGTCCCGCGGGGCAGGCAGGAGGGGTGAGCCGGGCACCTTTCCCTCCTCGCCCCCAGCGGCACCCAGAAGGGAGGCGGGGCGAGCTGGGGAGCAAGGTAAGGCAGAGCAAGGAGGGCTCCCGGCCCGCTGTAACTCCGGGGAGAGGAAATCCTGGGTCAAAATAACTCTAAAACCAAAATCAGTCAAAGGGAGAAATAAAGTTTAAAACCCATTTGTTACTTACAAACTGCAGTCCCGGGAGTCTTTTTCCTGCTTGGGCAGAAGCAAGCAAGACCTCCCCCTAACGTCTCAGGTTCAGAGAAGCCCTAGGTGGCCCAGGTAATTACCCATTAATATGGCGATGAACTTCTCTCCACCCCTGAGGAATGCCTGTTGATATGTACTAAAGCCAGGGGAGATACTCCGGAAGCACTACAGTTTTACCCACAGGCCACCCCTCCAGAAATCTCACTTTACAATCTACTCATTACCCCTCTTCCACAATGACACCTGTGCCAGAAACCTGGAACATTGTGACCAGACTAATAACATAACAATAGCAACAGCAATAAAATTATGATAATCCTCAAACCGGAAGATTTAGCTAGGTTCAAAGTCCCATGCAGATTTAAGTCCATAGCTCGTCATTGCATAGGCAGGCAGGAGCCCAGGGTTCAGAGCAATCATGCAGCAGTTGCAGCCAGGGGGCGCATCTAGGCTATGAGGACTGTAGAAGAAAATAACCTTAAGGGTGATAAGATACATGTTTTAATGACACCAGCATAGGGAAATCTTGTCCATCAGGTAGGATACATGCAAGAGAGGGGTCCTGTGATAGGACAGTGGCAGGAATGAGACCTCGTCCTGGTCTAGTATACCAGACTTTCACCCGCCTCCCTGTGGGAGTTACAGGTGGGTCAATATGTACGGCTACGGAAGGTACATACACTGGCCATAAAGATAAAACAAAACTTCCCCATAAGATGCTCTTACTTCCTGGACGTTTTGGGTACACTACAGTGATCTTTGGGGGCCACTCAGCTGTTGCTCCAGGAATACACATGAGGCCAGCTTCCAGGCCTTTTCCCCAAGGTGCCAGAACGGTCAGCCATCACTGGTCCATGTGTCGAAATGTCCAGGTCCATGTCGATTCAACAGTGTCTCTGGGGCTTAATGCAGTGGGGGCTGGCAGCAGGATGGTCCCCTGCTGGCCGTACCCTGGCTTCAATAACTCCTCTCTGGTTTGCATATACAGTTGTATAGGAGAGGCAGAAGGTGTGTTAGCATATCCACAGGGCTCTAAGTTCCTTTACGTGGCTTCTCATTCAGACGCTGCAGCACTGTCCACAGGCGAACTGACCAGTCCCGCAGACTGTTGGTGTCCGACTTCAGGCCAGATTTCAACAAACCATTGTACCTCTCTATCATGCCTGCCCTGGTAAGGTTATAGGGTAAATGAAACTTCCACCTTATTTCTAATTGCTGCACCCATTGTTGTAACCCATGTCCAGTAAAGTTAGTGCCTTGATTGCTCTCAGTCACCTGCAGCCGGCCATAGGCTGCAAAGAGATACTCCAGGTCCCTCTTGGTGGTTTGCTGAACTGCACAACGTGAAGGAAAAGCAACCAATAGTCCAGTAGCTGTGTCCACACAAGTCATGGCATACTGATACCCTTCTGACATGGGCAGAGGCCCAGTAGAGTCTACCTGCCACCTGACGAGGGGTATCAGCCCCCTCACTATTGTCCCACATGGAACTCCATGTAAGTCCCTCTTAGAGCACACAAGGCACTCCTTCCGGGCTCTGCTGACTTCTTCAAAGGTCAATGGCAAGCCCCACCAACGGGCTATAGCCCACATTGTCTTTTGCCCCGTGGACAACAAATGCTGGTGTAGCCATTGGGCCACATCAGAGGCAGGCTTTCCTTGTGGCCAGTGCACCTGGGCCAGTGTGTCTGCTTCATCATTCCCTAGGGATGCCAAAGGCAAATGGCCAGTCACATGATACATGGTAACAGTCTTAGTCTCACCAGAGGCCCACAGGTCTTGCCACAACTCTTGCCCCCAGAGGGGCCGGTGACCAACCATCCAGTTGGCATGATACCATGTCGGTAGCCACAGGGTCAAGCCCCGATAGATGGCCCAGCTGTCAGTGCAGACAACTACAGGGGAAGGCTCCTGGGTGATCACGGGCCATACTGCCCGCAACTCAGCCCACTGGCTGCTCTTCCCCTCTCCATCCTCCATCCATATTGCCTCAGTCTTAGGATGGAAAGCCACAGCCCTCCACTTCGGGGGCTGCCCATGACTGGAGCTGTCTGTGTACCAAGCATCTTCAGGTATAGGGGCTTTTCCCTCCTGATAAGGAGTCTCGGCCACCAAGGGCTCAAAAGCAAGTTCTTCCTGCATTCTACTGGTATAGGTCACTGGCCACAGTAAGCACTGGAGTACTCCATGTAAGGGGCTAGTATAGAGGACGCTATGCTGCTGTAAATACGAGCCCCATTTGGCCAGTGTAGGCTTCTGTACCACACCACTCCATGGCCTTTGGGTCCAGTCTCACACCCACCCTGCAATGGGATAGGTGGTTATTAACTTGGTCAGAGCTGCTCTGGTGATGGGCTCCGTAGCCAGCAAAGCATGGTACCTAGCAGCCAGTTGCTTCTCTATCAACATGTACCAGACCTCTGCTCCTTTCCATAGTTGTGACCAGAATCCAATAGGCTGGCATGTCTGTTCAAGCCGCTGCCAAAGGCCCCATCCATAACCATCTTTGGTTAATGAACATCTAGCTCAGGGGGCCTTGATGAGTCCATTACCCTCAAGGCCATACTGCCTGCTTGGCAGCAGTAAAAGCAGCTGCACATGTCTCATCCCAGTCCCACCTGATGCTCTTTCATACCAACTGGTATAAGGGCTTCAGAATTTGTGCCAAGTGTGGGATAAACACTCTCCAGTAGCCCAAAAGACCCCAAAACTCTTGTAATATTGCCACAGTGGTAGGGGTGGAGAAAACCCGGACCTTGTCTATTACTGCTTCAGGAACAACTTTAGTTTTATCTGACCAGACAACCCCCAAGAATTTCACAGACAAATGGGGTCTCTGAACCTTTGTGCTGTTCACAGCCCATCCTTTCTCCTGTAGATGTTGCAACAGTCTAGGAACTTCCCCTTCTAAATCTGAAAGAGAATCGGATGTGAGCATAATATCATCAAGGTAGTGATTCAACTGCACTGTTTGTGGTTTCTTCCATGAGGCCAAGTCTTGGGCTACAAGCCCGTGGCAGATGGTGGGACTGCGGAGGTATCCCTGTGGAAGAACAGTGAATGTCCACTGCTGGCCCTCCCATGTGAACACAAACTGTTCCTGGCTTTCCTGTGCTATCTCAATAGAGAAGAAGGCATTAGAAAGGTCCACTACATAATGATATGTTCCCAGCTCATGGCTGAGGGTGTCCATAAAGGCTGCTATAGAGGGGACAACAGCATGCAAAGGGGGTATGACTTTATTCACTTCCCTGTAGTCCACAGTCATATGTTAGGAGCCTCTGGCTTTTTCACCAGCCACACTGGGGAAAATTCAAAGGACTCTGAGTGGGCTTTATGATGCCCACCCTCTCCAACTCCTGGAGACTTTCTCCAGTTTCCTTGTGCCCCCCAGGCAATTTATACTGCTTAGTATTTGTCACACGCCAAAGTACAGGCTGAGCTACAGGTGGGTGCTTAGCATCTCCCCTCAGAACTGCCTTTACCACATGTACCCTCAGTCTGAACTCACCTGCAGTGGTCTGTAACCACAGGCTGTGCAGGATATCTACCCCCAAAATATATTCAGCAATGGGAGAAATGTACACGGTATACTCCTTTGGGATAAACGCCCTATCCCCAGTGAGATGTGGGTTTTCTCCACTCTAATTGCCTTACCCCCATAGCATCTATCACAGCAAGGGGTCCTGGGAAAATGCTCAGGGTTGCAATGAATCAGAGAACACTCAGCTCCTTTGTCCACCAGTGCCAGGACACGTTGTACATTCACAGGGGACCAATGAATTGCTAATTCTACATGTGACCTACAGTCCCCACCATGTCCCCCAAGGTGGGGACTTTGACCTCCATACCCCCAGTCAAACCATGATGCCCCCTAATCCTCCCGTGGGGATGAGGGCTCAGGCAAACCCTGAGTACTGTCCCCCATGAAGTTTTGCAGGGACATAGGCTGGACATGACTCTGGTTTCCATGTCCTGGACCTCAGGAGCTGGAACTGCTGCTCTGTCTTTAATTGGTGCCACAGTTCTAACAATATTCTATCGGCCTGCCCATTGAGTTTTTCTTTCCCTACCCCAGCCTTTATCAAATCAACTCACATCTGGGTCCTCGAGACCTTCACTGGGCATTTGCACCTCTCCTTTCAGTCCTGGCCCGTACTTCCCTCTGTGCCCTTATTGTTTTAACCTCCCCCAGATCTGCTAAAGTACGAGTAGCCTCCCTTATGGGTTGCCCTACGTGGGG